CTATTCTTGACTAACCTTTTTAGGTTCTGAAGTTTCTTAACAAACATGATACTCCCTTCATTGACAGCTGGATGGATGGGTAGATGGATCAATAGACGCTACAGTGACTAGAGAAGCAGTTGTTAGTTGTAATTCCTGACCACTACTGCATGGCAGTTAAGGTAAAGAATTCCCTTCTGGAGAAGGCAGGTATCCAGTCATCAACTGCATCTTTGCACACACGAAGACACCCTCTGCCTCCTCTATCACCTCCTGTCAGTTATAGATAAGAACAAGTGGGGACCTGCAAGTAACTTGCGGAGCAGCCATCTCATTCTCCCCACCTTTGATTCCTCCCCTCTCCCCTCACTTATCTCAGTGTCCCTCTTTCTTCATCCCACACCCCCTCTTTTACTGTCTGTCTCTCTCACACACACATATCTACTATCAATCCTTAAGAACATAAGAAGAGTCCTGCTGGATCAGACCAATGGTCCATCTAGTCCAGCATCTTGTCTCAAACAGTGGCCAACCAGTTCCTCTGGACAGCCAACAACAGGCCATAGAGGCCTTCCCCTGATGTTGCCTCTTGGCTCAGGGATTCTTTCTGCCTCCCTCACTCCCATCATTCTCCCCTCTCCATTAGCATATGTGGCTTGCCTGGCAGCTTTGCTGCCTTGCTGATGGTGGCTCTGCCGCACAGCTTCACAGCCTTGGTGGCAGTGGCTGCAGCTCATCCTGCCCTTCACCTGGCCTCTTTAGTGTTTTAATGGCTTGCCCTTCCACTCGTCCAGCTCCTAGAAGCTTCACTGCTTCAGTGGCTGGGCCAGCTTCTTCATTGCATTGGCAGTGGCAACTCCTCCCCACCTACTTTGCCTCAGTGGCATGGTTGGTGTAATACTGGAGCTTTGTCTGAGTGTGTGCAGACACTGTTCTTAGTTTGGGGAGGAATTAACCTACCCCATTGTATTCTATTTATTTATTCAGATTTTTCTGCAAATATGGGGAGTCCCCCAAATTTGCAGAACTATCTGGTTTTGGTTGCTGTGGCCCTAATTGGCAATTCAGGCTACCCTTGACTATTAGCATATAAGATTTCCTTCCACTCTGAACTGTCCTGCTGTGGTTCCGACAAGCCAACTTCCTCGCCAGGTGGACAATGCTTGGTAGAAGGATGGGTGGATGATTGAAAGTTCTGGGTCAGGATTGCAGCTTAGTGGTAGTGCATATGCTTTATATACAGGTCCAATTTTCAGCAAAGGAACTTTGATAGCAGGACTGGGTGAACTCTTAGCTTGAGATCTTGGAGAGCTGTCTGAAGTACTGGCAAGGCTTTACAAAACTGAAGGAAGAATAGAGACTTTCCAGGAGAAATGGGGGGAAGGGATGCTTTCTGGGCAGGACCTTAGGGTATGAAGCAACCTGCACAGATTCAGCAAAAAACCCCTATCCAGATGTATTTTCCTGGAAACTTTAACACAGAGGTGTTAACAGAGAAATGATGGCTTGAAACCAACACAGAAAAGACAGGCATACTACAGTCTGTGTGAGGTCAGGGAAAAAACAACGTCTTTAAGAAGCCAAGGAGGAACATTAACTCTGTGTAGAAGTGATCTTCAAGGAGGTCATGTGAAAGGAGACATATAAATAAGAATTTGAAGGTTCTGCCCCATCGGTTATGCCCATGAAACATTAGGACTTGGCCCTCCAACTTAATAGAAACACTCCTGGTGGGCCACTGCCTGGGAGGGCCATGGAGCCAGGAGAAGGCTGAGCCAAATGGTCCCTGTGGTGTGATCTGGGCAGGCCACAGCAGCAATGGCAATGGGCATAGCTGGCCCTTCATTGTTTCAGCCCGTGTCCAGGCCAAGGGGACCTTGCAGCTCTTTCTGCACTGCAGGGGCCATTGGGCTCAGCTTGCTCAAGGGCTGTTTTAATGTCCCAGTCCACTGTTGATATTTAATTCTGAGCAGCCTACTTGTAAGCAGAATCTCTAGGGAATTCAGTCGTGAGAGAGAAGAACTAAGAGGATGCCGGCAGTTTCTGACATCATACAGAACAACCACTTGAAGATAAATTTAATGTTTGGGTTGATGTACATCATCTCATTTGGGACAAGCCTTGTGCACAATCAGGAGTCTAGGTCAGCTCCTTCCTCCCAGTTTTGTACTATACTAGGCAAATTGGACACTCTGCCTTACGCACCCACTAAAGGTCAATGAGGTCAATAGCAAAACAAACAAATGAGCAAGCATACCCATACAGAGTTCAGGGAGACAGCCACTGTTGCTGCAAAGCAAAGCAAAACAAACCAGGCATCTTGTGTGGCACCTTAACAAACAACACATTTTTTTCTAACATGAGATTTCATATATTGGAGCTTAGCTACTTCATCAAATACATGAGATGGAGCCTCATTTAGCGGGTATTACTGTACAGTGTGTATGGGGGGGAGCTGCAAACGGTAGAATTAACATACATGCAACTGGTAATGGTAAACCAGCTTTCGCCCGGGTCACAGGACTGAGACGGCGTTGGTCGCCCTGACTGACAACCTCCGAAGGCATCTGGATCGAGGTGGTGTGGCAGCACTGTTGCTGTTAGATCTGTCGGTCGCATTTGATATGGTCAACCACCAGTTGCTGGCCCACCCGCTTGCCGACGTGGGGATTCAGGGGCTTGCCCTACAATGGTTTGCCTCTTTTCTTCAAGGCCGGGGACAAAGGGTGGCGATAGGGGATCAGTGGCCCCAGAGGCGCCCTCTTGATTGTGGGGGGCCACAGGAGGCGGTGCTGTCCCCAATGTTTTTTAACATCTACATGCGCCCCCTTGCCCAGATTGCCCGGAGTTATAGGCTCGGGTGTCATCAATATGCGGATGACACCCAGCTCTATCTGATGCTGGGCGGCCGGTCAAACTCCAACCCAGATGACCTTCATTAGGCGTTGCAAGCTGTGGCTGGTTGGCTCAGACTGAGTCATCTGAAACTAAACCCGGTGAAGATGGAGGTCCTGGGCTTGGGTCGGTTCGGGGTTGGGGCTCCCTCTCCCGACCTTCAATGGGGCGCCTCTGGTGCCAGCCTCGGGGTTAGGAGTTTGGGTGTGCTCCTGGACTCCTCTTTAACGATGGTAGCAGCCACTGCCAAGTCAACCTTCTACCATCTTCGGCTGGCACGGCAGTTGGTTCCCTTCCTTGACCGTGAAGACCTGGCCACAGTGATCCATGCAATGGTCACCTCGAGTTTGGACTACTGCAACGCTCTCTACATGGGGCTGCCTTTGTCGCAAATCCAGAAGCTGCAGCTAGTGCAGAATGCAGCAGCCAGGCTGTTGATGGGTCTCTCTAGGCAGGACCATATCTGGCCTGTGCTGAAAGCGCTGCACTGGCTGTCAATAGCGTACCGGATTCACTTCAAAGTGCTGGTTCTTACCTTTAAAGCGGAGGAGACCCGGGCCCTGCGGGACCTTGTGCAGTTCCGCAGGGCCTGCAAGACAGAGCTCTTCCGCCAGGCTTTTGAGTAGGAGCCACCGCTGCCACTGTACCACCATCGCACCGCCACCATAAATGGTGCGGGTACCACCAAGGTGCAAGACGGCCCTGGGACGCAGATTGGACGGCAGTGTTGTTATGGAATTTACGCCGATGTTCTGGGCTTATTTTACCAGAACCCATCTTGGAATTGAGGATTGAAGTGACATCTAGAGGACTGTAGAGACATCTAGAGCACCTGCACTTTATGTATTATTGGATTGTTTTATTCTGTTTTTAGTGTTTTAATCATGGCTTCGTGCCCTAATTGTTTAATCTTTGCTTTGTGCCCTAATTGTTAGCCGCCCTGAGCCTGTTTTAGGGAGGGTGGGATATAAATTGAACAATAAATAAAATTAAAATAAATAAACATATCGATTGCCTTATGAAAGTAAACTAATCTTAATTGGTGACTGGATCATTTACCAACACTAAAAGACAGAACCTAATTTCGGTGCCGGTGCCAATCCTTGGCGGGACATAGGCCCCGGTCACACTGGGGGGAAAGGTGCGGCTGAAGTGCGGCTTTTTTGAGCCGCATCAAAAGTGAAGCACGATGGCGGGATCAGATAGATCCCCCGCCGTGCAGTTGCTCCCCGGCATGATCAGTTGCCGGGGGGAAGCCACTGCAGGGAGAGTGAGGTAGCCAAACTGCACATGTGTGCGCATGCGCGGTTTGGCCGGGAGCCTCGATTGCTCCTGCAGACGGGAGCGCCGGTGATCTCACGGCCGCACTTGCTGCAGTAGGTAGTACTCTTTTGGTGCTACCTTTTTGCGGTGGGTTTTCGGCTGGAAGGAACGGATCAGGGACAGGTGTGCTCCGCTTCCCAGATGTTGCAGTATGATCGGGCCCCCTCGATGCACCCTGGATCCATCCCTACCACACGGGGCCATAAGGTACTAACACAAATAATGTGCATATACCCATTGCAGGCCCCTCGCTGGATAAGCACAACCCGAAATAGTTATTTAGGACTGGAAGAAGCCGTGTAGGGGGCCACAGGATATGTCTCTCAGGCAGCCTCTGTGACTGCACTTCTGGCGCTGGAAAGGGCCATTGCACGCTCCGTCCTTTCTTCCAACCGCAGACGCCAGCCAGCCCTCCTTCGCTCCGCATTGCTTCGCCCTTTGCCTACCTTCACCTTTTCTATCATCGCGCTCTTTTGGCGGGGGGCGAAGAGCCGCTCCGGCCAACGCTACCGAGGGCTGAAGGAAAACAAGAGCACGTTTACCTGGAAGGCGCAGGCCCCGCCCCTACTGCTTCTCAGCCAATCGAAGGCGAGGGAGAGCCGTGGGAGAGCCAGTGGGACGCCGAGATAGAGGAGCCGGTGTAAACACCCCAAACGGTCCCGCCTCCGGTTGGGGGGGGGGACCTGCTTCTGGCGCGCCTCCTTGAGCCGGCTGTTAGCAGGGCTGTTGCAGCTCCGGGACGTCCGCGCCCCCCTCCTTGTGCTTGGCTTTCCCCCTGCCCTGAGTGCAGCCTCCCGGGGCACATGGCCTGTCTGATGGCAGCTTTCTCCGTGGGCGCCGCTTTGGTAAGTGGACGTTCCTTTTCCTTAGTCAGCAGCAGCCAGCAGTCCGGAGGCCCGCGCCGAAACTGCGCTCACTGTGATAGGATCCTGCTTTTTGGGACAGCTTTCCAGAGGGTGTGTGAGAAAGAAAAGGGTTTTTAAACGGGAAGGCGGTGGGATTTGGGGATGCGGGGAGAGCAGGAGGGCGCTTCTTTTTGGGAATGACCCCTCCCCTCCCCCCGGGGCTGTTTTTAACCCTTTGAGCTGCGTCTAATTCCTGAAGAATGAGCTTCTCCGTTGGGGTCTTTGAAACTGGCCGCTAGTCTGCCTTTTATTAACAAAACCAAAACGGGGGCAGTGAGACCCCCTCCCCCCATGCAGATGCGACCCTATCCTCCCGCTGTTGGCTGGATCGCCGCCCCGCCAGCCCCAAGGAAAGCGCTTCAAAGCGAGAGAGATAATACCGAGGAGGAGGTCAAAGCGGCGAGTTAATTCGCTGCCGCGGGAGAGGAGGGGCCGCGTGTGTCTCCGAAAGTGACCCTAGAGTCGCGCAGAGCCGGACCGGCCGTTGCCTCTTTATTCCCAGCGTCGCTGTGATGGATCAGCCTCCTCTTTAATGTGCGTGCCGCTGTGCGCGCGTTTGTGTCTTCATTGAATGAGAAGGGAAAAGAGAGACCTCTGGTTTTATTTTGCATTAACTAAGAAATCTTCTACTTATCAGCGCTGAAATTGCTTTGGTAAGGAAATATCTCTTTCCCGTTGTTCCCTGTCTTGCATCGTGAAGGGCTGTGATTTTAATGATAATTTACATGTGTTTAAAGCCTAGTGTTTGTTATATATATATAATATATATATTTTATTTTTCATAGCCCCATTAACAGATTTTCTCTTCTGGGTTTTGGACTGCTCCAGAGCTGTAGCTTATTGTGGCATGTATTGATATTTTGCCAGTATAGGATGGGTTAGAATGCAGGGGTTGCTTTGTTTTTGTTTTTTATTTTATTTTTTGTCATTTACATCATCCTGGATTTGAAGTCAGCTGCACATAGCAGGCTTTGACCGAAAGTTACCTCTGCCTTGAGCTCATGAGAAAGATGGGGGGAGAGGGAATTAGATGGTTTTCTGAGCATGCTCAGTCTCTCACAACTGCATCCTATGGTTTGAAAAGAGATTTACTAAGGCACAGATAACGTTTCCTGCTCATTATATAATGGATTAGGTATAAACCTGATAGAAGCATTGTTGTTTTTTAAAGTAAGTTTCTGGGTTCAAGAGCACAGGTATTTCACAATAGATGTCACACTGATCAGTTTTACTGTTTTGAAAGGCAATATGTTTATTGTTCAGCCTGCTGCTGTTTATCACAAAGCAATTCAAATCATGAAAACTGGATTGGGATGAAAACCCCATTGGAAACTGAACATAGCTGTCCAATGTAGGGGATAGGTTATATGAACTGGAATTTAGAATGTGCCTACTGCAGCATCAGTTCCGATGCTTTACTTTAAAAGGGATTGTAAGTGTTCATTATTATAAAATATTAAGTGTGCCAATTCGGTCAGAGAGATCTGCACTGACCAAGAAAGAATCATTTGATTTTCCTGTGCTTCTCCTGGCATCCCAAAATAAAAAAACCTCTTGACTTGATGACTTTTTTCATTATCTTGGGATAAGATCAACCATTCTTCTGAACAGCAAATCTGATTTGGTCGCTATCCTGCAGCCAAACAGAATCAAGGAGTCCTTATTTGCAGCGTAATGGCTGGGGAGGGGGTCTGTCCCCAGGAAAAAAGTCTGCAGACAAGCTGAATGCCTAAGTCATTACAGAACCCCCCTTTTCATCATGTGGCATAATGAAATGATTGTCCAGGTTTGTTTAACATCTTGGCCAGCTTGCATCTCTCTCCCCACCCCCAGCTATCCAGTGTCTAATAAAATCTAACCAAGGGACAAAAGGGAGTTGAGAAGATGTCTGTACCTGAGTTAAGATCATGTTACATTTTTAGAAGTAATCATGAGTTACCCTGTACATTAAGAATGCATATGCTCAGTACTTTAAAAACAAATGTTTTGATGGTACCCAAACCTTTGAACAATCCCACAAAACAGCCCACTGGAAAAATAAAAGGTAATTGTTCATGAATTTCACATCTGCCTTGGAAAATTGGTCCTTCAAGTCTTCTAGAAAAAAAAACTTACCAGAAATAAGCTATAACATTCATTCCTAGGCCCTTTTTGTGGGTTTCTTTCTTTCTTTTTTGGTTTGAGAATTAAATCCACATTACTGTGCTCAGATTACATTATTATTGTTGAAATGTTGAAGCAGCTGGTATGTCTGGTCGGATAATCGACCAGCCTGGACATGCACAAAATACCATCTTTGGCAACATAAGCTGATCTCCAGTTCTTAAGTTTTGGATATTAGGAAGGATCCAACTAACTTTTCCATTGATGAAAAGGGGAGGCGAGGGTCCCCTTTGACCACTAAACATGCTATGCTGAAAATAACGGATCCTGCATGGATGAAAGCAGGGGTCGATTCGGGGGGGGATCATGGGGGATCGCAGTTCTCCCGGGTGAGGTGCGGGGGCGGGGCACACAATGAAGCCCCGCCCCCTGCTTCCGGTCGGGGTAAAATGGCGATTTGACACACCCTGTAAGTGCTCAGGGTGGACGGGTGTTCCTTACAGCAGTTTGTACTGTATTTTGGTCCAACGCGGCTTCCCCCAGGCAGGGGGAATGACTGGCAGGCATCAAGACCCAAGAGAGAGTTGAGATTGGTGTGATCAAGTCTCGGAGGAGGCTTGTATTACACTTTGATCCCCTCTCCTGAAGCGGGCGAGCACATTCAGGGGGTGTGGCCTTATCACACACTTCCAGTGATGTCAGGGGGTGTGGCACATGCTAATGAGTTATGCTAATGAGTTCCCCTAGCTCTTTTTCTACGAAACGACCCCTGGATGAAAGGCATGTACAGTGGGGGCTGGAGGAAGGAGGGGAATTAAGTAACAAATGAAAAGGCTGGCTTGATTCAACCCATTTAGTTTATTACTTTTAAAATAGTCAGTCATATTCTTAAATGTGAACACAGATGAGGCTACCATATCAAATCACACCACTGATCAATACAGCATTGTATATTCTGACTGGCAGTGGTGCTCCAAGATCTCAAGGTGAGGTCTTCCCCAGCACTGTTCCCAGTGACCTGTTTAACTATAAGAACAAACTTTGAGACCAGTGGCACCTTTAAGACCAACAAAGTTTTATTCAAGGTATAAACTTTCATGTGCATGCAAGCACAGTTCTTCAGGCATCTCCAAATAACTTTGTTCTGCTGCTTCAGACCAACATGGCTGCCCACCTGAATCTGTTTAACTAGAGATGCAAAGGATTTTAACCTGAGATCTTCTGCATGTGTTCAGCTACTAGACTATGACCCACATTGTAACACAGTATAATGTTTCATTTAAATTAAGCCTGCATTAAAGGTTCAGTGCCTGGAGGAGGAACCCTAAAATGACACTTCTTCCTTGTGGTAAAACTACAGCAACAATAATAAAAAGAAACTGACTTTTTCTCGTCTTTGGCTGTGGTCACACGTATTAAATAATCTGCTTTCAATCCGCTTTCAGTGTACTTTCCAACTGGATTTTGCCAGTTCACACAGTAAAATCCAGTTGGAAAGTGCACTGAAAGTGGATTATTTAGTGTGTGTGACCGCAGTCTTACTGTTGCCAGAATGTACAATCAGCAGCAGCCATTGCCTACTCTGCACAATGGGTAAGGTTTTCCCTGTTTGCACATTCCTTTTGAGAGAAACACTTCACAAATATGGGAAAGTTGTAGGGTGAAAGTGAAGTATTAAAAATTGACAATTTTAAATCATAAAGGGTGGAGGTGAATTGTAGAAACGTCTTAAAGAGAATGGGAGATAGCAGATGCATGATTACATTTAGTTTAAAAGTGCATATAATCATAAGAATGATGGGAGTGAAAAGCAAATCAAGGCCATATATACAATTACAACCTTTTATTCCAGATAAATGAATTTAGACTAGCTACACAATACTAAATAGTATCCAATTTTTAAAAATAAAAATCCCTGGAGTCATACAAACAAGGACAAATTCTTTGCAGTTGACAAGGTACATCTTGATTAGCGTTACCAGGTCCCCTGTGGCCACTGGCAGGGGATGGGGGGGGGGTAGGGTTGCCAGCTCTAGGCTGGAAAACTAGAGATTTGGGACTGGAGCCTGGGGAGGACAGGAACCTCAGTGGGGTACAGTGCCAGAGAGTCTACCCTCCAAAGCATCCATTTTTACCAGGGGAACTGATTTCTGTAGTCAGCTGTAATTCCATTAGATCCCCAGATCCCACCAGGACTGGCATCCCTAATCTAGATATACCTTCAGATGCATTGTTGAAAATGTCTACCGAAAGATTCCTTTGTCTCTGTGATTGTTGTAGATGAATATTTGAGCCGGAGGAATCCTTTCTGGAGAAACAGCCATGTTCTCTTCTAAAACCTTAGGAAGGCATCATATTCAGTGGATATTTGTGCTCTCTGTCTCTCTCACCCACTATGAGAACTAGTGCACAGGAGCAAATTCTTTGTGAATGTATTTTCCTAGGAAAAACTCACAGATACATTTGCATTTCTCCCTTGTGTTACAGAATGCCAGCAATTCTTCACCTGCTATGCCTGAGCCAAAGTCTGTATGTGTTTCGGTAGATGAGGTAGTCTCCAACGGCACAGATGCACAAGATGTCCATCTACTAAATTGCCACTTAAAGAAGCTGGACAATGCTTTGACAGAAGCCCATCGCTTCTCCTACCTGCCCAGGAGACCAGCTGTGAACATCGAGTTTAAAGAACTCTCGTACTCTGTCCAGGAAGGACCATGGTGGAGGAGGAAAGGTAAGAAAATGAAAACTTTACAGATGAATACTGAGGGAAGTGTTCCTTGTCTTCTGACATAATTCTTGAGTGAATCATACACACTATTTGGTAATGAAGACAGAGAAAATTGGAACACGTTAAGGAAAACAGAACCGAGCCATTTGTATTGTAAAATTTAAAATATGGTTTGGCTGCATCATGATAATAGTACTTGCTTTAGGGATTCACACTTTGTTCTTTGGTACAGTGTATTTTTTAAATAAATAAATAAATAGCTTGCTGATTATTACATGTAAATGAGGTTTTAAAAAAGAACTATGCAACTCTAGTTGGCTGGTGCACCAGAGTTTGGTGTAGTGGTTAGGAGTGCGTACCCTAATCTGGGAGAACCGGGTTTGATTCCCCACTCCTCCACATGCAGCTGCTGGTGTGACCTTGGGTCAGTAACAAGTTCTTTCAGAGCTGTTCTCTTGTGAGTAGTTCTCGAAAGAGCTCTTTCAGCCCCACCTACCTCACAGGGTGTCTGTTGTGGGAAGGCAAAGGGAAAGCAGATTGTAAACTGCTCCGAGACTCCTTTGGGTAGTGAAGGGCGGGGTATAAATCCAATCTCTTCTCTTCTTCACTATCTATGTGGCCTTATCCCAATAAGTTACAGTTCCTGGACCCATATTGGATGGCCAAAGAATAAGGAGATGGTCCAGCTCTGAATGGATTTGATACCCTACTGTAAACTAAATGGAGATCTTAATATATTAGTTTACTTCAGTTCTTTTTGAAAGTGTGCTCCAAATGGAAGAAACAATTAAGATAAAGGAAATTACTCAACCTGTGACCTTTAAATAACTTGGAATTGATCCTCAGATAATTTATGGACTAAATTAAAGGAGACATTCCTTCCAAGTAACTAACTGGGAAATAGCTTTCTGCCATAGGAAGGAGGACTGGCAGCCCTAAGCACTGGAGACTTATGATATTTTTGTAGTATTTGTTTTATTTACAGCTATACACACTGATATACATATCGAGCACATGTAGAGGCAAAGAGGCATTCCTACAGGCCTGCATGGCTGCCCCATCATTTCCCAGAGTGAGAGATCCTGAAGTCCGAAGTGCTTTTGCCAACTCCCAGTAGCATCTGGGTGCTTCTCTCTCTGCCACTTCCAGAATCTTTCTTGAAATGGAGATGCAAATGTGCCCCTTCTAGCCTAGAGGGGGAACCATCTCCTCCAAACAGAGTGCTTATTCTGAACTTCCTTCTAAGGTCCATTGAGGAGTTATCTACAATCCCTAAGAATCATTATTATTCTGATATCATAGGTTCCAGCTGGGCTTGCTACTTTAGACCAAGCCCATAGGGTAGACCACTTCATAGTAACCAGATGTCAAGCTCGCAGCCGTATGCAAACAGACTCAGAAAGAGGGCCACTGAAAAATCTGAAACAATCCAGCTAAACTGTGGATGTTTGACAGTAATAGCTAGTCGTATAACCTAGCTGAGAAGGCTTGTTTTGCCAAGGGGGAAATCCAGAAAAACTATGTATTTATTTACTTCATTCATATCTCATTTTTTCCACCAACTGGGACCTAAAATATCATTCTCCTCCATTTTATCCTCACAACAACCCCATGAGATGTAATGTTGTAAGTGATGAGGTTCATTTGTACCATTTCAGAAATAAGATATTTTTGTTCATTACCTATTATGTGTATACTGGGCTATGGCTTGCATTAAGAGCTTTGCTTGGACTTGGCAGAATATTGCTTGAAGCTTGACAACAGGTATACATTTATTTATTTATTTATAGCCCACATGTCTTCCCAGTGGGGACCCAAAGTAGCTTACATTGTTGTCCCCTCCTTCATTTTAGGTTAGGCCAAGAGTGTGTGACTGGCCCAAGATCACCCAGCAAGCTTCCAGGGCACTAGTGGGGATTCAAATAGGGGTCTCCCAGAACCTAATCTGACACTTTAACCACTATACCACATTTTTGTTACTTAGAACTGTAGCATTTTTCATATGATATCACTACCATCTATTTTTACTACTTCTACTAAATAATAATAAGAAGAATTTTGCTTGGACCTGGCAAAAATATTGACACTGAATAGAATATGTTGATAGCAAGAATGGTAAAACATCTGACAGCCACTGTTCTAGATTACTACTGTAGGAGAATTTATTGTTGAAATTATATTTTCTTTGTATAACTTGTGCTCTCCATGAAAGGGAAATAGGATGTATATGAGATTCCCAGCAGTAAGTGCTTCTACAGAGAAAATTACCCTAGAGTAAAAAATGGAACTCTTGAGGCCGGTGTCACATATTTTAATGAAGTAATTAAATTTCCACATGGGATTGTCTCCCGTTGTATGAACTGGCATGGCTATATTTTGATTGTATGGTTCATACATTTCAAGTCATAGTGATATGCAATACTTTTTACTTGGCCTGTCTGATGTGCATGCCAATACTGAAAATTCTGTCTTTGAATCATCAGTTCCCACTTTCTGGGCGAAGGATGCAGAAAATCACTGTGATTGACATGTGAAACTGTATCCTCTCTTTCCATACATGGTTAGTTAACTTTGTGTAAACTCAGTGCAAATTATCATAACAGTTACAGTGCTAGACCTTAGAATTTCAACAGATGAAAAGAAAAGTAGACCATGTGCACAAGACTAATGATGAAGTAAGCAAATAAACATGATTTCCATTTATGTGTGCTCTGTACATGACAAAAGTAGATGGGAATGTGCCGTCCTCATAGTCAGTCTTGGCTTTCAGTTGCAGTGAATATCCATGTTGCATGCAAGTATGCATGGATCAAGACCAATATCTCTTTTAATTCTTCGCCATTTCACATGAGCCTAGACATTCAAATGTTTTCCTCCAGTTGCACCCAAACAGATGATAACCAGGAACCAAGCTTGTCTTTCTTTTTATCTGTTAAAAAACACTTCACTATTTTGCATGCTAATTTAACAAGCCACCCTGTATGTATACAAGTATGATCTGTACTTCCATTTCATTGTCTGATAAGTGTGCTTTGCACACGAAAGCTCACACCTTGAATAAAACTTTGTTGGTCTTAAAGGTGCCACTGGACTCTAACTTTGTTCTATTGCTTCAGACCAGCACGGCTGCCCACTTTGATCTATGCAAAGTGTCTAATTATGTTTAGGTGCTTACTCAGTCACTGGGCTGTTAGTAAATATTATGACTTCTTGTAAGGCCTGACAACAGCTAGAACTGGCCCAGTCAAAGCAAGTACTCACTTTTGCATAACTGAATGCGAAGCTGATGCTAACAAATTTGGCCTATTTTAATACCAGGTGCCATCTTATCATAATATGTATGTATATAATTGGTAAGCTGGTCATCTTTATCATCTTCTTAACAGTGACAAGAATTCTATCACTTTCTCTTTGTGGACTTATGATCATGTGTAGAAATGTAATAAATTTCTCATAATATTTGACAGAAAAAGGCAAGCTTGCTAAATAGTTAGGTGCATACTGTGGTAAACTGCTGCTTGGTAAATGAGCATCTATATTCATGTTCAGTTTGGCCCATGTCTGTATAATACCTCAAGAACTTGCATATTGTTGACTTGAGATGGGGAATAAAAAGCTATGCTAAAATATACAACATATTTAGGATATGCTCAAATAGTCTAACATACCATTAGAAAACTCACCATAAGCAATTCAGTAAGGACTCAGGGCCAAACATTTTCCTAGATGTACCCTCATTTACATAGGAAGGCCTGAAATTTAATATAATAGATCAAAATTACTATTACGTGGATGCATCCATTTTAAAGGCTGTTCAAGTGATTCAACTGGAAAAGAATTTTCAACTTCTCAAGGTTTACAGTGAAATACAGAGACTGGCTTTACCATGTAATGAATCATGATCCAATCAAGATCGGTAGCCTGTGTATGACTGAAAATTTGTTTTGTACACTGAGAAGAAAATGAGTTTTGTAGATCAGATAGTGAAAATTATTATAATATACTGTTCAATTATAATATTGATTAGAATATATAAGAAATATTCCCAAATTAGTTGTATATGGTTTAGTTGGATTAGGTCTGGCCAGATTATTTGATGGTGAAAAAGGGAGGGGGTCCCCTTTGGCTATATTTGGGATTATGTGACCTGCATGAAAAAAGTCTTATGGCTATGTCACGGCTCCGGGGGGTAGTCACCTGACGCTGCCACCACTCTGGTTCCAGGCTCCCTGGAGAAGGCCCAGAGCACCCTCCCAAGACCTTCTGACCTCCCTTTTGGCCGAATAATAGGTGCAAGGACTAGGCAGAGTGAACAATGAAAATAGTTTATTTTATAGGAGGTCAAACAACAAGGTGCAGAATAATAGTAAGTGGGCGAAAAGAAAAGAAATCAAATGCCCTAACGCGTCTAAATATATACTCTCCCTATCTCACGATCTGCAGTGGCCTTAGACTACTCACCCTTCCCTCAGGATGAGGGTTTCTGCCTTGCAGCAGCCTTCCTTCTGGCTCTGCCCTCTTGGAAGAAAGAACAGCTTTTCCTGCTGCTCCAGATCCTTTATTTCGAGCCCTCCTCTTTTCCTATTGGTCAATTTTGGCTCCAAAATCTCTCAGGGGCTTCTGGGAGTTGTAGGCCCAGCCTCACTTACTGCTAGCCAGGCTTCCTGGGCCTAGTAGGCCGTGCTTGCACAGCCCAGGTCATGACCGGCTACTAGGGCTGCCAAGTGGGGGCGGGTGGCGGGTAAACCCCCGCTTTGGAGGCCCGATTTCCACCGCCATGGAATCAGGCCCCGGGGGAACTCCGCCCCCCGAAGCGCAGCGTGGCTGCGTCACCAGAGGTGATGCAACCACATCAATCATGTTGGGGGCGTGGCCCCGATCGTCAGAGGGAAAACTCTATGGCCTCAACGTGTTGATGTCGCGCGTCACTTCCGGTGACATGCTGGTGGTGCGCGCGCGCACACATCCACTGACAGCTCCTGGAGCCCGGCGAGGCCTCCCCC